CACCAGGGCCCCGACGCGGCGTCACCGCGGCCAGCCCCGTGTCCTCCGCCGGCTCTGGGCTCCGAGGACGGCGGTGCGCACAGAGCAGGGGGAGGGTACACTGTGGCCACCACGGAGGACAGGACAGGGACAGCGGCTGCACTGCCGGGCACAGACTCAGGCTGGCCACACACTGCTGCCCTGGAAGGGCAAGGAGGGCTGCACCCGCTCATCCGGGCCACCTTCCTCCTTATCACCCCAGGGTCCTCTTCAGTCAGCTGGAGTCAGTGCTGCTCAACCCGCCCCTGGCAGAAGGGAGAAGGGAGCCCTGTCTTGTACCCCACTGCACAGCTTTATTGACATATTTTTTTGAGGTGCTGGGGGTTGGACCCAGGGCCTTCCCACTGTGCTACATCTACAGCATCCTCCTGCTTTTTACAGACAGGGTTTTGCTAAGTTGCTCAGTTGTCCAAGCTGGGTTTACAAACGTATGATCCTCCTGCCTCAGCCTCCCAAAGTGCTCGGCTTGCACACATGCACCACCACGCCTGGCTCTAAGTGCAGCTTCTGAAAGCCAGGAGCTCCCTTGTGTGGCTGTTTCTGCTCTCAAACGGTCCTGGGCAGCCCTGCTCAGCTGTGGACTTGGGCGTCTCGCATTGGTCCAGCTGTCAGACTGGCCCAAGGAAAGAGATCTTCTCTCCTGAGGCCGAAAGCTGAGTCTCACGGAGTGAATATGAGGACAGACCCAGGGGCCAGGGGCTGGGGACACTGCCAAGCACTCCTCGGGCAGGATTGGGTGGCCAGGGGGCTGGGGGCCAGGCGTGCCGAGGTGGCCGGGGAGGGCTGGGCAGAGCCAGCCTGTACACCTGCTGCCCCTCGAAGGGCAAAGGGCCCTGCCCCGGGAAAGGAGGCTGGAAAAGCAAAGCCTCCAGGAAGCCCAGCGCCGAAGGCCGCTCCCTGGCGCCCACCTCGCAGAGCTGAAGGGTACAGCTTGTCACTGAGGCCCGGGCTCCGAGGACAGGCCCGGCTGATGACGCAGCTTCCGTGGTAGCCTTGGTGCCAGCGACTGGCTCTCCATGGAAAATGGCAGAGGCCGCCACGGCCCCAGGAGGGACGCGACTCTCCCTGCTCCAGCAGAAGCCTCAGAGGGCTGCGGGGCGTGCAGAGCAACAGGGCCTCGGAGACCACAGCGGGGCTCGCCTCACGCCCGGCTCCTCTCCCCAGGTAACTTCGTTTCTGCCCGCTTCGTGTCTGGGGGGCCCTGGCTGGGCAGCTCCCCACGTCACTCCCGCCCTGAAACACGGCTCTAGCCAACCTGCTTCGCTGCTTCACCTGCGACCGGCTCTGCGGGGGCTGCACGGCGCCAGCCCCGCCCGCCCGCC